CCAGCTCTGATTAATCATATCAGAGCAACTATATTGGCTTTGTTTCCTATAACTTAGAGCCCCTGCTTTACTTCCCAACAGTAACAGGAGTTCCCAGACTTCAGGGCACCATGGTGTTCCAGGGCTATAGAGCCTTTAAATTCAACTTATCTAAATCAAAAGAAAACATTTCCCTTTTTTTTAGTTCAACCAAGGAGTATTATATTTTTTGTTTTCCCAAGGTCAGAATAAATAAGCTGCAAATGATCCTATGTATATGTGTATACACATGTTATAGATAGATGTATTAATAGGTACATATAGACATACATTTCTATTTTAGTCAGCTTTTTTGTTGCTTTTGTGACCCAAAGATCTGATAAGAACAATTTTAGAGGAAAAGTTTATTTGGGGCTCATGGTTTCAGAGGTCTCAGTTCATTAGATGGCTGACCCCATTGCTCTGGGCCGGAGATGAGACAGAACATAATGGTGGAAAGGTGTGGTGAGGAAAGTAACTGAGGACATGGTACCAGGAAGCTGAAAGAGAGAGAGAGAGAGAGAGAGAGAGAGAGAGGAAGACAGAGAGTGCACACCCCCAGAGACTCACCTCTCCAGCCACCAGCCACACCCTACCTATCTATAGTTACCACCCAGTTAATCCCTTCCAGTGGTTTAAGGCACTGATTAGGTTAAGGCTCTCATAGCCCAATCATTTCACCTCTAAAATTTTTCATACATAAGATTTGAGGGAATACCTCATATCTAAATCTTAACAATTTTACTTATCTTTTATATGTACATATAGTTTGTGTGTTTGTGTGAAATAGGAAGCATACAAATATTGTAGAGATAAATGAACTTGATGATGAATCCTGGATTTCCACTACCTTTAAATTTCTAGCTTGTGAGGCTTTGGACAAATTAATTTATTTGAAACTTGGAATATGGATATACATATATAATGACTGTTGGATGTGATTATTTCCTCTCTACTCCTATAGTCTAAAATAGATGGATTTCTATCATTAATGCAAGAGTTTTCTAATGCAAGTTTCAAAAAATATTTATGTCCCCCAATTAGAATTTTAAGTGAAAAATATCATGATATCTTAACAGAATTAAAAAAGCATCCAAACTTGGTTGTTTTTAACAATGATTCATTATAAAGGTCTTACCAGACTGGGAATAGTAGGGAGCTTTCTTAAGCTGATAGAATAATCACAAAGCCTAGAGTACATTTTTGCTTAAAAAATAAATTTTAGAAGTTTCACATTCAATTAAAATAAGATTAGGATGACCACTTTGACCTCTACAATTAATTCTTGTATTGAAAGTCCAAATGGAGGCAATAAGACAGGAAATAAAAAAGTTTACAATTGAGTAACTGGAAAAAAAGAGAGAAAAGGCCAGTTGTTATTTGAAGATGATAGCTTTGCTTAGATGGAAGATCCTATGGGCCTTGCAGATAAGCCAGAATGCATTCAAATTCATCATATGTGCTTTCATCTTTTGGAAAAATGCATTTTAAAATAAAGTATGGTATAGTCATACAATAGATCCTATACAACAGTTAAGTGATTGAATTATTTCATATGTCAACCTGTGTAAATTTCTAGAACATGTTGAGTAAAAAAAGGAAAAGCTAATTCCAGAAAGTTAAATTAAACTTTTGAGACTAAAAGGTTTCTTAAAACAAAGGGTTTACAGATGCTAGCTGAAAGGTAAAGGACAGGTTCTGAGACAAATTCCACAAGCTACCAGCAGCATGGCCAAAAAATAGTTGGAAAATATCCACTGGTTGTAAGGGGTTGGAGGTTTTATAACAAAATGGTGGGAAAGAGAAACATTGGTTATTTACACTGAACCTACACTAGCTATAGATAAAGGAGAGAACAATGTGAAGTGGACAGGGTCCTGGGATAGGAGGATAGTTCATAAAGAGAAGATTTTACTATTTCTTGATTGGTTCTAAAATAAGAATGCACTATGGCCTGCTTTCAGGACTCATGTGACAGATCTAGCTGACCTGGACAGTCCAGAATAGTATCCCTATTTTAAGATCTGTAATCTTAATGTCATCTGCAAAGTGCTTTTTGCCATGTAAGGTAGCATATTCCAGGATTCAGGGATGAGATTGTGGACATTCTGGAAGAGCCATTCTGCCTACTGTAGGAGTTACATTCTGACTTTAGGATAGTGATTGTCTATGGGGAGTGAGGGGAAGGATTAGGGAATGTGTAAAGACTTTGAATCTATAATTATCTACTTTTGAAAATAATCTGAAGCAAATATGGCAAAAGTATAATAAATAAAAAGAAAGCTATATTTTATCACACCAGAATAAAAATACTGGAAGTCAAAACACAGGAAATATTTAAAAAGTAGAAGATTAAAAAAAATGATGAGTTAACTCTCCAGAGAAAGTGAAATTTAGACTAACAATTGACTTCTCAAAAGAAATGTTGGACTAAATAAAAGACATAGAGTGATATTTTCAAAGTACTGAATAAGAAATTATTTCCCCATTAGGATTCTATGTCCATTAATAAATCATTAGACATTATATATGTGTATTGAATCGTCACACAATACCCCATAAATATGTCTGATTAAAATAACAATTCATAATAAAAATAAAATTAATATAGAGATTTTAAAAGAATAAAGGTGAAATAAATATATCACTAGCAGACTAGCACTAAATGAAATTTTAAAGGAAGCTTTCAAGAAGAAAGAAAAAAAAACTTTGCAAATGGAAGTTATTTCCTTCTAATCTGTCTTCTGATTCATTAAGACCTCTTCAGCTTTGTGTCAAACCTGTCCCTTGAAATCTTAGTTTTAGCTTTCAAGCTTTTGGATGCAGAAAAGTTGAACCCAAAAAGAAAAAAGAAAAAAAAAAGGCAACTAGGTGAACAAATTTAAAATATCATTGACCATTTAATAATAACAATAATGCCATACAAAATAGTAGTTATGAGTTTAATATATAGTAATTTAAATATATGATAATTATGTCTTTAACACATAATACAATGACATGAGTAATATCTGAAGACAAGTTGAGTCACTTAGCTTCGATGGGAATTCCCAGAGGAATTATCTAGAAATTGTGTTCAGCTAATGAGTCCAACATTTGCCACAGGCTGAGCTTTCTAGCAGTCAGGATGGACCCACCTCCCCACTGGGCTTTCAGGTCATGCCATGCCCGTCCCATTGGCCACCTTCACCCAGCCGCCCATTTGAAATAGTTAGACCTGAGCCTCCACTCTTAGTATGGTGCTCTGAACACTATATTAACAGTACAGAGAGAGGATTGTGCAATTAAGCTGGGGAAGCATGAAAGAAATTGCTGTCATACTTGTTAAGAATTGGATTTTTTCACGCTTCCTTTTTCTTTGTAGTTTTAAGGAGTCATTAAGGGATAAGAGCAAAAAATATTGTCAAAGTTCAGAAAAGCCTTCTGAAGTCTTCATTTGCAGGAGCTTTTGAGGAGTGAGCTTACATATTTCTCTTTGTGCAAAAGAGGTCTTAAATAGAATAAGCAATGTCATTTCCTAAGATTAGCCAGCTGTGAATTTCTACTGATTTGAGAGGCATGCTTACCAACTCAGAAAAACAGGACACATTCTGCACTAAGAAGAGATAGAACATGGTGATGCTTCCCTCTTTCCTCTGATGCTTTTTTTCTGTCACTGGGTTCCCCCAGTTTCTACCATGTCCTGTCATTCTTCCATCAGGAACTTCTTCCCATTATGTCCTCTCGTCTGCTGTTTGTCTTCTGGGCTATCGGTACCTCCCTTGTCCTCTCCAGCATGGTATTCATTTCTGTTACCTAAGATATTTGGTCACTTTGCTTTCTCCTTTTGAGAAAATTAAACACTTGTTCTGGGGGTGAAGGAAAGAGTCCTCAGCACCTCTGATTTCTTCAGCATTACATTCAAGTCAGTAAGTCTTTCCAGCCTTCCAAAGTAGCTATGTTTAGCTTCTATTTTACAGACGGGATAACTGAGACAATGTCTCTTTCCTATATCTTGCTGTATTCCCTGATTATGTGCTGAATGTCCTCATTATGGCAAAAACCTGGAAGTTTGGGAGGCTAATAAGAGAGAGCTGACTATTAGCAGTGGGGGAAGGTGAGGACATCAGTGATAAACATAAGAAAACTTGTGATTCAAAGAGAACTTGGAACATACAGGCTTCAGAAACTAAAACTAATCATATCTTTAAATATGGGTACACCCTATAATTGCATACTCAGATATAAGTTTAGAATTGGATAAGAGACATTGCTTTGAGGCAGACCTCTCCAGTTGACTTTTTTTTTTTTCTCCATTGCCTTTGCTATACTGGGTTTAATGCAAACTCTAAGTGTCTGAAATCTCTTGCTGGTTCCTCCTGATCAGGTCTGTTCGCGGCAAATAGGAAAGCCCTACCCTATTCTCTTCCAGAGTCATTCATTTACTCATTCATTCATCAATGCATTAATTTGTGTTTTTAAATAAAATAGTTTGAGCAAGGCTTTAAGCCAGTCACAATGCTAAGTAACTTCCTAAGCCTCATTCTAAAAAAAAATTCCTTTGGGGCAGGTTCTTTTTGGAAAAGATCCACTCCACTGACTCTACTTATTGTACAATAACTGTATACATAGTGGGAGTATTCTGATAGCTGTTTCATTCTAAATTTGGACTCAGACCCTGAATAAGTGAAGAAACAAGAACATTAGATTAAAAAAATAAGTGATGATTTTATTTATTTCTGTGATCCTTCATGTAACTTTACAACACATCTCACCTATGAGAAAGTCTGACTTCATAGTTCTGACTTTGTCCTTGGTGGGAATATCCTTTGGAAGATTTTCACTCTTTGGCCTTTATTTTTAAGGGAGAAAATTTCCACAGTTTAAGGAGTTTCTACTGCGAGTGAGTGAGACTTCATTTGGAAAAGAATTTCCCTTTTCTCTCCTACAAAATTATAATGGGTAGTGTGATCTTCTGTCTGCATTTCTTGTTTTTTTCTCCAGCATCATCTGCCAATGATGTGATAATCTCAGAAAGAATCCAGTTCTCTGTAGCTAGATCTACACTGGTGAGTTAAAAAAAAAAGTAATAATATGAAAAATGCATACCCCCAATATGACTGGAAGATTTTTAAAACAATCTATCCAATTTAGCTTTTTATTTTCCTCTTTTAGAAATTAAGGAAGGGGGGACTGTGTGTCCAGCAGGGATTTCAAACTCTGTCTAAACACCATGTTCTCTTACTGACATTCAAACTTGCTAGTCTGGATAAAATTATTAGTTAGGATTTGAGAATTTTCTGGATCATTAAATTTGAAAAAGTTTTTCTTTAATTCTGTGCTAGTTATTGCTAAACTGGGTGAGAACTAAGGTAATGTGAAATTGATTCCTAAGAGTAGTATAATGCTGGATGTTGTTTGGGTAATCAGTGGAAGAGAAACCATAGAACCTTTGAGAATTCGAATGTGCCAGTCTTGCAGTAGGAACACAACAGTTAAGAGTCAAAGAGGAAGGGTTACAGTGGTTTTGTTGGTAGTGTTGAAGGTTTACCCTGAGTCTATGGTTGTAACTAGGTTGTCTGTTCAGAGTAGGAAAAAAAGAGCAGCATTTAGAGAATTAGTAGGAAGTCTGTGTTCCAAAGGGCACAAGAGTAGAGACAGCTGTGGAATCCGAACAGGTCACATGTATTACATTTGTCCTGGGCCTGGAGTCTATGACAGTGTGTGTTCCATATGGAAAAATTTCTCCTATCAGTTATGTCACAGCTGGGGCAGCTCTGGGCTGTCCCTGTCATTATTTTCCTTTCTGTTTACTTGGCCCATTTCCAACCACTACCCCTTTTCACTTTCTGCTACTGAATCCACTTAAGTATTTATTGAAAAAAAAATACTGTATGGGAACTGCTTACTTCCCAACAGCAAACCTGCTTATCCTATGTATGTTTGATGGATGCAGCAAACTCACACCCACCTAAGGCCATGCTTTGCTTCTGCTCTGAAACCCCACTGTTCCCATTCTCCCAGAGACAACATTTCTGCAAATTTCTCATATTCCTTATGCAGTTCCACACTCTTTACTAGATTATTCTCAATAGATTACAAATATTCTCTCGTAGCTTTAATAATAAAATGATAACGAACTATAAAGCATTTAAGAAGGAAAAATAAAAGCAGAGAATTGATCTAGGGTTGGGATCTTGCTGAAAAGATTATTAAAGGGTTTAGGAAATCTAGGGGCTTAGGGAAGTTTACCATTTCTAAACATGAACTTTTGGGTAGGCATGACACTTTGTGAAAAACAGGATTGAGCTGGGTTTGATGCTGGGGAGGCTGAGGTAGGAGGATTGCAAGTTTGAGGTCAGCTTCTGCAATTTAGTGAGACCTCGCCTCAAAACAAACAGCTACAACAATAATAATAAAAAAGAGGACTAAAACATCTAGATGTTTGTTAGACATAAGAAAAAGTTTTACCCAAAATTTATTTCTAATATTCCAAAGAAAATACTGCAGGCCATGGGAAACCACAGTGTTGTTCCAGAGTTCATCCTCCTCGGGCTGTCTGCGGACACCCAGATCCAGGTCCTTCTCTTTGTGCTTTTCCTGGTGATTTATCTGCTGACCATGGTGGGGAACCTGGTGATGCTGCTGGTAGTCAGGATTGATTCCCACCTCTGCACACCCATGTACTTCTTCCTGGGACAGTTGTCCTTCCTGGATCTGTGTCACTCCTCTGTCACTGTGCCTAAGCTGCTGGAGAACCTCTTGTCTGAGAAGAAAACCATCTCTGTGGAGGGCTGCCTGGCTCAGGTGTTCTTTGTCTTTGCCACTGGGGGCACTGAGTCCTGCCTGCTCGCTGTGATGGCTTACGACCGCTACGTTGCCATCAGCTCTCCTCTGCTCTATGGCCAGGTGATGAACAGGCAGCTGTGTGTGGGGCTGGTGTGGGGCTCCTGGGGCGTGGCTTTCTTGGATGCTTTCATTAATATCCTTGTAGCTCTGGATTTAGACTTCTGTGAGGCTCAAAATATCCACCACTTCATCTGTGAGCTGCCCTCTCTCTATCCTTTGTCTTGCTCTGATGTGTCTGCAAGTTACACCACCCTGCTCTGCTCTAGCCTCCTGCATTTCATTGGGAATTTTCTCCTGATATGTTTTTCCTATATTCGCATTTTGCTCACCATCCTGGGCATCAGCTCCACCTCAGGCAGAAGCAAGGCTTTCTCCACCTGCTCCTCCCACCTCACCGCAGTGACTTTCTTTTATGGCTCAGGATTACTCCGCTATCTCATGCCAAATTCTGGATCCACTCAAGAGTTGATCTTCTCCTTGCAGTATACCGTGATCACTCCCATGCTGAATCCTCTCATCTACAGTCTGAAGAACCAGGAGGTGAAGGCTGCTGTGAGAAGAATGTTGAGAAAGTGTTTCTAGTGTTTCAAATGGTAGATTACAAAATCATAACGATGACTAGAACTGCAGTACGTAGCACCTGAATACGGTGGATCTATACTGTGCCTTATGCCTCTTCTTAAAAATACTGAAGAAAAGGTGGAGAGTTATTTGGGGGAGATGATACCAGTGTAGTCCCATTCAGAGGAGGATGGAAGGTTAAGATAAACCTCTTGGTTAACAATTTTTTTTTCATATAGAAATACTGTATGTCATTATTACACAGTATATTAGATGTGGTTATTGCCCACTCAGACTACCTTTATCATTCTTCTAGAAACTAAACTCTACTTGTTCAAAATGGCTCCAGAGAGACTGTGCATCATGGTGTCCCAAAGTTCCTTCCCGGCCCCAACCCGGGTCATTTTTTCACTCAGCCTTCATGGCACAGTGTCTGGTTCAAGAGGGGACACAACATCAATGTCAGATCATCCATCCTCTTAGGAATCTTAATCTTGAGGCAAGATTCTTAGAGGTGGAGGTCAGCACTTTGTTTGTAGCACCCTTAACAGCCTATGTGAGTGCCCCTGCTGATGTGATCACTAGTGTTATCCTAGAGTCTGTTTTTCCGAGGCCAGATATATAAGCATGAATCATACTGAGTACATTATTAGTATTTGCATCATGTCCTGCACTGTGCTAAGCAATTTACATACATTATCCCATTTGAGTATCACAACAAATGTATTATGTAAACACTTCAGTTATCCCTATTTCAGAAAAGAGAAGTAAGTGATGACTTGGAGAAGTAAGTGATGAGGTTGGAATTTGGAATCAAATGGACTTACACCAAAACCACTGTTTTCTTTATCAGCTTGATAACTGACCCTCTTTGTGATCCTGTAATCTACCCTGGACTCCATTTTTAATGTTTATTGCTGATGTCCTTTATTTTATTTTACTTAATAAGTAAGTCAGAATTAGATTCTGTAATTTGCAAGAAAAGAATCTAAGAATTATATGTTGGTACTTCAATGGAATTGAAGTATAGACATCCAAGGACAATTGGGATATTTGAAATTGTGTATTGGACCAATATATGCTTCAGACTATTTACCCAATGGTCAACCATCTCTAGCTGTGAAGGGACCCATGACAAGGGATGATTCTCCAGCTCATATGGGTTGCTATACAAGTAGTTTTGCCACTCAGCCCCTGTGATGCTGTAGAAATGGCTGAGCAAGTGCTGGATGAGATCTGTGGAGAATATAAAGAACTAGAAGAATTTCAGCAAAGATGCCTTAGATTGTGAAACATATTGAAGAATTGATGAGATTTGGTACAGTATGGACTGAAATTTTATCATGGTGAAAAATTAATCATCATTTCTTTATGAAGTCATCTTTTATTTTTAACTTCTTTCCAAGCAGTCAATGGTCACCCTCCCTTTTACTTTGTACTCTTTAGCAGCAGAGAGTATAAACTCAAAGAAAACAGGACATTTTTATGGTATCCTTGCTACTTTTTTAAGAATATGAAAATGGTTTCTAACATCTTTGTTGATCAATAAGTGTATTTTGTTGTGCAAGTTATGGGCTAAGAAACTGAGAATATATTTAAAATGAATTCTCATCATAAGGTCACCACTGTTAAAGCATAATTATACAAATGGGATAGTCTAGCATGCAAATGCCAGTCATTCCTGTATGCCTCATTCTGGTCCATTAACTCATAAACACTAGAGCCAGGTGTGAGCAAGGTGACAATTATGTAAATACATTTTAATTCACCAAGTCTGATTCACTGTTGTCACTGAAGAAAGTTATTTTGATAAAAGTCACCTATAAATTTTATTAGATACATTATAGATATTTTTTATTTTTTGTTTCTATAATGTTAAAAATTCAAGTACATTTATATCCAAAGGTTTAACCAGGCCCAACCATACTTGGTTTCTAAGATCAGAGGAGACCAGATACATTAGTGTAGTGTGGTCATAGGCCTCTTGGTTATTTTTAATGTATAAGAATGCTCTTGTACCTGTCAATTTTGTTGAACTATCTTCATAGTTCTAGTGGCTTGAATTTTAAAATATTTTCAATGATTTCATCTTCAATGGGAATAATTTTTATGCAGTTTTTATATATTGCATTTTAATGTTAATTTAGTGGGTAGGACCTCTAGTCTAGACATTTTTTGGGGGGATTTGTGGGAAAGCTCTCATGTTTCAGCATTAAGAATAAGGATTGCTCTTTTTTGGGTGAATATCAAGAGAGCTCTGTTCTAATCATAATTGGCTAAGAATTGGTTGGAGATTTTTGTCAAATGCCTTTTCTGCTTCCATGGAGGCCTAGGGTTCTTTATCTTCTGTTTACTACTGTATAATATCTGTCACATAATAGTCATGCAATAATACATGTTGAATAAAAATAAATTCATTGAAGTGATCCTTCATTATTTAATTTGGTAATAATAAATTGTCTTGGTAGGTGTTCTGTTGTTGAAGAATCATTGCATTTGTGGAATCACCCTACTTCAGTGTAATATTAAAAACTTAGTTAACTTATTAGTATTTGACTTGGAAATTTCCTATTTATATGCATAAATGAGATAGTATAATTGTTTTTTCTTACATTCACATGATCTTTTCTTCTCAAGATTTTTAGAAGAAAAACTCACCCAAAGTATACAAATCAATGGTATCAATCACATTTACAGAGTTGTGCAACCATCACTACAACTTAAATTTAGAACATTTTCATCAGCCCAAAGGAAATCTAAATGTCTCTTCTTTAAAAATAATTTTAAAATTAATTTTCAAAATAATTAATTAAAAAATTAATTTTATAAAAATAATTTTAAAAATATTTTAAAATTATCTTTTAAAACTGATAGATAAAATTGTATATTGTCAATTATAACATAGCATATATGATGTTTTGGAGTATATATACATTGTAGAACGGTTAAGTCTAACTAGTTAATTTATGCATTTCCTTAAATATAGTTATCCTTTTTATGGTGAGAACTCTTTAGTATTTATTCTTTGTATTTTTTTTAAACCAGGCATTGAATCCAGGGGCACTTAACCAGTGAGCCACATCCCAAGCCCTTTTAATATTTTATTTAGAGAGGGTCTTGCTGAGTTTCTTAGGGCCTTGCTGAGTTGCTGAGGCTGGCTTTGAACTGGTGATCCTCCTGCCTCAGCTTCCTGAGGCTTTGGGATTATAGGTGTGAGCCACCCCACTGAGTGCTGTTTGCATTTTTTGAGAATACAATGTATCATAATTAAATATAGTCACATACATTCCTTCTATATAACTATAATTATATATTCTTTGATCAACGTCTCCCCAACCCCAATTTCCCCTAACCAGCAGAAGAACGTAGACAATTTTGCTTATATCCATGCTCTAGTTTGGATGATAAATGTCCCTGATAGGCCCTTGTATTAAGGGCTTGTTCCTCTGAGTGGTGCTATTGAGAAGCAGTGGAACTTTTTAGAGATGGGGCCTACTGGGAGGTCTTCAGGTCATTGGGGCCATGCCTTTGAAGGGAGTAGTGGGAATCCCAGGTCCCTCCTCTCTCCTTCTCTTTTTGTCTTCTGGCCATGAGGTTTGTGGTTTTGTTCTGCTACATGCTTTTCATCTCTATGAGCTAACCTGCCATAGGGCCAAAAACAACAAGACCAACAATGATAGACTAAAACCTCTAAAACTGTGAGCCAATTTTCTCTTCATAAGTTAATTATCTCAGGTGTTTGTCATAATGAAGGAAAGCTGACTAACAGTGTGTGGCATCAATTTTTTAAGATTCCACATGTAACTGAGATTGTGCAGTTTTATCTTTTTTTACTTGGCTTATCTCACTTGACGTAATGTCCTCTAGATTCATGCATGGCATCCCTAACGGCAAGATTCCCTTCCATTTGAAGGTGAAATAGTATTCTATTTTGTCCAATATTCATTGAAGCTCTTTTGAATATTGTTTATACATGATAGCTAAGACATAGAATCAACCCAGGTACCCCCAAAAAACGGATGAATGGATGAAAAAAATGTGGTACATATACACATAGAAGTGCATATATGCTACTCATAGAACAGAGTAGAACGGTGGTTAGCAGAGACTTGGGTAGAGTGGGGAGATGTTGGCCAAAGGTTGTATTATTATGGTTAGATAGAAAGAGAGGAAATTCAGAATAGACAAATACATAGAGACAGAAAGTTGGATAAGTGATTGCCTGTAGCTTGGCAGTGGAGAGGAGAGGCTGCATGGGAATTGGGAATGACTGCTAAGGGTTATGGTCTAAGACTGATGGTGGAGATGGTTGCATAACTCTGTGAGCATATTGAAAACAATTTCATTGTATACATTAAATGGGTGAATTGCATGATATGTGAATTACATCTTAATAAAGCTTTTTTTTTAAAGAGAAAGAATTTATGTGTTATTTTTTTCCTCTTTTTTGCCATCTGTGAAAATTCTTCCTATCTGGTAGTTTATGTTCCTTTTTCCTAGCATCAATCAGTCTTTATCATCTTACTTTGGGGGCTCCTGCTTTGTGTCTATACTAGGGTAATTGCAACTCTTTTCATGATCCAATGATCAGACTGACTCAGTGCTTCCTCATTAGGTTTTGCTTTTGTTTCCTGACATGCTTGCTCTAGAAATTCTATAAAGATATTTGCCTGAAAGGTGGCAAGATTTCATTTTTTTCTATCATGAAGGTTGACCCCATCCCACACTGTCACTTCAAACTTTGAATAAATCTCTTGTCTTCTATCTCATACTGAATACATTTAGTTTTCAGTTATCTTGCAAGGAAATTAATCATAGCTATACCTAGAACTGGAAGTGCTGCTTATTATTTTGCATTTCAATTCCATTTATATTTTAGTGATAAGCTCATCATATGTTTTCTTTTCACTATGCTATTTTATCTGACCTAGATGCATGTTGAAAGCAGGGTGGGTCCCTCAAACCAAAATTTATGCCCTAAATAATTTATATTCAGTCTCTGAAAACAGACTCTGAGATGAGGATTCACGTCCAAGTGAACTTGGGAGAAACTGTTAAGGAGTAAGAACAGATGTTGTGGACTTTATGTCTATGCTATGTCCCCCATTCTTATGTTGAAACCACTATTTCCCAATGGGATGGATGGTATTTTGATTCAGGGCCTGTACTGTCCATAGCCCAATTAATTATACTAGGACAGTGGGATAGATTGCTGGGAGATGAAAGAAGATACCCAGAGATGGGATGTGAAACACAAGGTTTATTGAAAAATGCTTATGAGAAAGCCGCAGCAGTGATAGGCTGGACAAGCAACACCTTCATTTCTCATGGTGCTTCCAGAGCTTCTCCAGAAAACTGTGCCTCCATTCCTCTGATACTTCATCTAGTGGCAGCAGCTGGATGAGCACTTATCCTCTCTGCCGTGCTTTGTTCTGTACC